ACCTCACATATATGTATTATCGGCTTCCTCAGTATACATGTTAAGCTTACTTCCATTTCGAGTGAAAATGTTGGGTTAAGATATTCGAAAGTATAAATGTGATCTGAAAGAAGCCTAGCCTTCTATGAAATTCGCTTCTCCTATGTGAAATAGGGGCAGTCGTGGAAGTATGGCGTGGATTGTACAGTGCCTTACCGGAGTTAAGTTTCTGCTTGGGGTTCCGAGTAGACCCTGGCGAGGTCGAAACTACAGTCCAGTCTAGATGAGAATACCATTTGAGAAACAGGCTATGTAAGATTTAATGGAAACGTGAGGCCCATTCACATCAATGCGGATTAAATGCAGCTATCGGTCCTTCATTACATTCTGCAATCTGAGGTGATGCAATCTAAGACTCGTATTCAAGATTTACTGAGTCTCGAAAACCGTCGATCCGAGGCTGTGTAGAGGCATGATGTGGAACCTAGTAAAGTCGATCTGAGAAAAACCTCTTTGCTGATGTGGAGCAAATAAATTCCTGTCATTATAGACGCAGACCAAAAGGCATCGTTGCTGGAGGGCTTTGTTTACGCTTCAACCCCGGCTGAGCATAGCCCATAACTGGACATCCAGCCCACTATGTCATTACTATGATGCCGATACAAGGCGTCAAAAGAAAGGACATTTTCTGAAGTGGTATACACTAGGGGCTGCGTGCTTGCTCGCATCCTCGTCCCAAGGGGACTGGTGCCATAGAAAGATCCATCAGGTGCCTTCACTCTGGGGCACTCAGGTTTAGACTGAGCCAATGTCCAAGCATGTTGTCGTTCGTTCATCACTCTAAACGAAAGAGGATGAATATCTCATCTCTCGAAAGGCTGCTTATAAACAAAAAATCTATAGAAACTGTTCCCACTATAAGTATAGACTGGGGGGACCGATGTTCCTTGGAAGTCATACCCGGCCTGTGACCAACTGACCCCAGGGGTATGTGGTAGAGGACGAACGAGCCCGCTTGATATGCACAACTAGATGTGCTGATGGTACGGTGAGGCAAGTTCGAACCTTAAGTCCAACCTTGGAAAGTAAGCCTTTCGGAACGCATATTGGTGGGTACTATAAAGCCTTAAAAGCGTCTAATTATGGAAATTTTTACTAATATTTCCTTTTTTCTGTAGGAAATCTCCCACGAGTGGTTGTTATTTTGTTTTTTGAGAGTTTGTTTGAGTCTATTTTTTATTTTTACTAGGGAATATAATTTGTTATTTTTGCCAAATAAATAATACCCCCTCAGAATCCTCTTAACACGTTAAATATTATATATTAGTAGTACTAAGCATAGAAAGTTTTCTACGTGAGGAAAATGGTGTAAAATATTTACTTCATCTAACTTGTCAGCTCTTTATTAATATTAACGTGGTTTAACGATGTTTTGGAATACTCAAAGCTTCGTATTTCGTATATATGACTCAAAGGTGTATATCTCGAAAAATCTATTAATACTCCCGCCTCACTCGAATTCGCATTATTAAAAATTTTACAGGCACGAATACTGAATCACCCTCATCAGTTATGATTATAACGTCGCAATTCATTGAGCATTACACATGCAACACACTAACAATAACACCATAGAATGGCAATTTCAAACTTAAGGCAATTTATATTCTGTGTTTCCGAGACAATCAGTAGTGCTTAAATAGCAGTCTGAGTCACCCTGAATCGATCAACATGATCCAAGAAATGATAGTTGAATTTTCCCACATTTAAATTTGTAGTCTTCCCGATATCAGTAAATCTCACTTAGCCTTTCTAACTAAAATGCTTTTACATACAAGCTGGATTGTTCTTATCTGTACCCGCAACGGTATTCGAAATCAACCACGTCCGTAGTGACGACATGCTACCAATCCCCCCAGAGGCCAGATGTGAATGAGATCAAGCCAGGCCTCTCCCAGATAATATTGATGGTGCGACTGTCGATTTGCTGATAGTCTCTAAATATAATCATAAATAAGGTAGTTGTCGATTTTAATGGCAAATACGTTTGCCACTTTGTGAGTTGGAAGACTCCTGGCTTTCCTCGAGCCAAATCTACAGTGATATACTGTTACCAGTGCCTGTGTGATAGTTTCACCGTGTCGCTACTTTACACAAACGACCCTGTTTTGAACCGTGTTGAGGATGCTGATATGACCAATGAAAGGTCGAAGCTGCAGCTCGGCCTGGCTGACAACCTTTGAGACATAAGTAGGGCTTATTTTGTTTTGGGTCAATTCAACTATAAGTCCTTAAATTGCCTTAAGTTGGGCTGCCCAATTTCTTACACAGTAATTTAAGTAAGGCGACAGATTTCTAGCTACATCCGCATCCATATCACTCATAAACATGCACTAATCAAGCAACAAAATCGCATAATATCTTATCAAGTTCTCGGCGTTAGGTAGGATTGCAGCTGATCACCACTCTCGATTAAATGCTTGGTGCATTTTTTACAAGATGGTTGTTCTCTCCAACAATGTATGTCTGATGAGACGAGAGCTGGGGATTGAGTTTTAGTGGATCAGGAAATATTCATTATGAAATATATATTCTTTATCTTGCTGACGTATAGAATAACACAACATTGTATTGAGGAAAAAGAAAGCGAATCACGCAGTGTATTGTATGTAAGACGGCAAGTTACAAGCGAACATCTCAACGTGGTAAAAACAGACTACGACCGCGTCGCTTGTTGGTGCCGGTCAGAAGAGTTCGACCACAGGGTAACGACAGTTCACCAGTCGGGTGACAGGACAAGTTCCAGTCAGTCTCGGGTAGCTCCGGGTTAAAAAAAATCTTGAGTACTTGTAATCCCACGCTCTGATTGGCTCGATGTGATGACTAGTTTCACTCAGTTCCCGCAGGACACAGTGCCAATGAGTTGTGCTCCGCCAAATGTTGCATGAATTGAGAGATATAGCCAAACTGATTGGAGTAAAAGAGTCTACACACCGTCCAGTAATCTCGATGATGCTGTAGTGAATTTTCTCTACAATCAGTTTGTCTACATCTCTCAACGCGTGCAGCATTTGCGGGAGCACGACTCATCGTCAGGGCCCAGACGCTGAGGGGAGCGATGGGGCAAAAGGTGTTAGTCGAGGAAGTTTCTGACTTAAAACACTGTTGTGTACTTTTGGTGCCGCATTCCGATTGGTTCAACGGAGAGACTCTATGCGGTGACTAGATTGGCTTAGTCTCCACGCCACAGTGCTGATGAGTCATGCTTCGCTTGGTGTTGCATGAGTCGAGATATAACCGCGAGAGATGTAGCCAAACTGATTGTGGAGTAAGGTCACTACAGCGTCATCGAGATTTCTGGACGGTGTGTAGAGGCTTTTACCTTAATCAGTTCGCCTACATCTCTCGCGATTATATCTCGACTCATGCAACACCAAGCGGAGCATGACTCATCAGCACAGTGTCAGGCGGGGACTAAGCCAACCTAGTCACCGCATAAAGCCTCTCCGTTGAACCAATTAGAACGTGGCAATAAAACTACACAAGGGTATTTTAAGCCAAAAACACTTTAGACTGGGGCATGTAGAAAAAGTGGGTTTCGAAGGGTCTCCTAATAGATTGCTGTTAGAGTACCTTTAATTTCAGTTTGAAGAGGTGAGTGGAGGGGATCCGTAATTTGGTTCCATCGGAAGCTCTAGGGGGATTGCATTGGAGCTATGATTGTAGATTTGTACGAATAGAACCTCAGCTCACCGCCGTGACCCTATTTGAATCGTTGCTGAGCTTTCGTACATCATGGGACGGACATAGTCGGAGCAGGATAACAGGCTTAACGATAATTCACCAAAAACACGAAGGCAAGAAAGGTGGCCGGCTTCAAACCTACCTACTTCTTATAGTGCAATTTGGTCCGTTCATGCATTTCATGTTTTAACAGGATATCCTATGCTTTGGCCAAAAGTTAGGTGGCTCCAGATGAAGCGTGAACAGGATGCAATTGTGATAGAACAGCTACATCCTAGTCTAAAACACTTATGCTAGGCCATTCTACCGCATGTGATTGTGTTCCATTGCACGCATATTGTTAATGCATTGCTCGTAAAATGAGCGTGATGTAAGAGTCAAAACCAGCTTTGAGCCTAACCAAGCCTTCTTGTGCACGGTGGTACTTCTCAATCTCCCCCTCTATTCCTATCCAACAACAACAATATGTTGACTTCTATCAACTCGGTAATCTTTCGCTTACTGGTTGGTATAGTCCCCATATTCAGCTAACTGTTAGTCATTAGACTAATCTATCTGGTGTCCTGTGGAGCCACAGACCTTTGCAGGCCATTTTTTGTTCAGACAACCTCTTATGTTTGTGTCTACAGGCCTCTTCTATTGTATAAACACAAAATCTTAGAACAACTCGATCTGGAAAGAGGGTCAGAATATTACCGAAAAGAAGGCAGTACCGAAGAATGTTATTTTATAATTATAAATTGTCCTGATGTTCCATCTCCTCAGTAATTCGCCTATTTTATTTGACAGATTACACGATGGCAGCATAAGGATTCTGGTAGTGGTCTAACTTTTTATCTAACCCCAAATATGTATTTCCCTCCATTCTATTTGACAATATCCTAAAGTAATTATCAACCAGTCCTCGTGAATAATTATTTTCAACCAGAATTCTCCTTGGTCTACTCAACTGGTCCCGATGATTAACATCTGCCAGACGCAGACTCCTTATCATCATAGACTTAATAACTCCTATAAGTGGGTTGACCTTGTGGCAACTTGGTCCTGTTGTCCAGGAGACTTAGTAGAACATACCTAATCCGAAGTCCACTGCATATATGGGCCGGACAAGACCAAATTGCGATGACGAGATGAACCCACTTGGAAGAGAAAGTAGAATCTTCTTTGTTTAGTGTTAACCTAAGGCTTTTACAAGAATGAGTCCCAGCTCTGACGATGTTGGTCACATGACGAACGAAAGCTCAGCCCATCTCCGCCCGAAACGTTGGAGGATGTTTCGTGGACTGTATCAACCTGAAGGTCAGATTAAGGCCAAGCGGCTGCAGTACAACGTGAATCAGCCGATGTCTTCTGATGAGATTGACCAACGAATATCTTCACCATGTACTTCCATACGAAATGAAAGTCTTCACATCAACCTTATCTCAGGAGACTCTCCGAAACCCGCATTCTCTTGGTATACACAATTAAAGTTTGCCTCGTCGACATTCCTCAGTACAAGCGAATTAGTTCGTTAATAATTATTATGCCGCGATCATAGTATCCATGTCCAGAGGCCATATTAGCCGGTTTAAGGCTTACTAACAATAGGTAGTGGTTGGCTCTCGATTACATCACATTTTCATGAATAATCAAATTAAGCTAATGAAGAATATTTGATAAAACATTTATAGTCAAACAATCTTGCAGACTATAAAGCGATTAAACAGGATAATAGTTATACTATTTGCATAAGCTAAGGCATAGATTATACTATACCAGGACGTTAGAAAAACAAGACATCCCATCTGACCCAGAAATAGAACATTAGGCTCGAAAATAGGAGATCTGACAAAATGACTTGAAAATATAGCATATTATGAACTGGTGGCGATATAAAAAGATAGAGTATGATAAATACAAAAATTTGTATTCTTAGGGCCAAGCAGATTGCAATCTATGCGTGGGCTTGAGCACATCATACTGAGGATCTCAGAGCACGAGAAAAAATTATAGCAGGATGGTAGGGCAATAAGTGATGATGACAACATAAAACGGCAAGGCCGTCAGAAAAGCAGGCAAGAAAGGAAACAGATGGAAGCAAGGTGGTGGTGGCACATGGAAATAAGAAAAAGAGCAACCATGCTGGCGATAAAAAGCCACGAGAGTCGAAAGCAAACAGCTACAGCCGACAAAGGATAACAAGTCCTAGTTGGCATCAGCCGGTAATATATATATATATATATATATACATATATGTAGACTGGTCAAGAGATGGCACAACGTGAATTAAGCGTATAAAAGTATATCTAAGAGGAATAAATAAAGAAGTGAAACAGAAATGAGTCTGACAGAGTAATGAGCAGAGCATGCATTGAGAAAGGAGCGGGCTACAGCGACCGATAAAAGAAGTAAACAGATATCAGCCAATGCAAGCTCGAGAAAGGTGCAATGCAAACGTGGACTGGCTCAATGAACATATTTGCAGTTAGTGGGATAGGGAACTCATATTATGCCATTATATTACAAAATATCAGGCTTCAAGAAAAATATAGGGCATCTGCAGGTGGTAAATGTCAACCTTTTCTGTTCCCCTCACCTCATTTCTATACACGGAGGAAATATGCATGGAGTGGACCAAAGAAAAGAATAAAATTAAGATTAAGCTAAATAAGGCAGACGTATACCTCTTTCGTAGAAGAGAAGGCTTTAGATTGCTTGGCTGATAAACAGAACAAGAATGGATAAGTCTTATGATATAAGCTCTTGGGCCAGTATGCTCAATCGTTTTTGAGCAATACAGGCGTCTCGATAAAACAGTTTCCGGAGAATAAAAAGCTAGTAGAAAGGGTGAGCTGAAATCATCTAATCTGGTTTGACCTTGGCTAATCAGAGCAGAGAGTGTTTCTCATCTTCACTCAATTGATTGGGAATGGATGCAGAAGTTGAGGTTTGATTTTGGCTTGACTTCACTTATGTATTCATCGGGTCCGACGACTTAGCGACTTTATAGAGCAGCTTCAATTGACTACCCATCGTGCCAGAGGTCTGCTCAGCGACCACACGGGGAACAGAAGTGACGAAGAGTGGTAGAGTTCTGGGATCATGACGTTCATTTACTCGCAGCAAGCAGCCGTCGGCGAGTAAGATCCGTAGTACGCGCATAATGTTAAAGGCATCGTCTAGACCACGATGTTGTTGACCGATAAAACCAAGTCCGAGGTCAAAGAGCATACTCTTAAGATTCGATCGGTGTTTTAGAGGCGTCTTAGAAATGTAAAATATTTTAAAGTCAAAGCCTATGACAAATCGGCAATCAGGAGGTAAAAATATAGAGTTAACGAGAATTTATTAGGCAATGTATAATAACAATAAGACAAAAATATCAAGAGCATGGGTTCAAAAGTTAATAGATTGAAATTGAGCTTTACTAGGCACAAGAGTATTTAAAGTTGAAGTAAATTGACATAGTGAGGCCTCCTGTTCATTCGTAAGTGAGAAACTAGACTGTCAGTGTTTATATGGCCTTCGCCGACCCTAAGTGATTCGGATTATTACAAAATGCACTAAGTGAAAATAAATTTACTTAGTATCAGGATAAGTCATCACCATCTATGCATATTATAACGACAGGGTTTTGAGGAACCAGAGGAGGATCAAAAAATATATAAAGCTTGAGGAGCCTAATTGCATTACAATTTCTCGAATTAAGGCACTCTTTGGT